TGTTTAGTACAGATGCAACTATCGTAGGCCTAACTGCATAGTACACATCAGCAACATAACTTTTCCCCCCCAATATTCAATCTGCAGTTAGTTGAATCCACAGATGCAGAAGCTGTGGATATGGAGGGCAGACTATATTGTAATTTACAGTAGTCTCTTCTGTCAATCCTATAATGAATTGAAATTAACAGTAAAGGAGGAATAGGCCTAGCAAACACAAACTTATGTTGTCCTACAGGTAATTAAGATCATTTTAGCATTTTCCCTGTCATTAGGAAGGATCTACTACTGGAACTTCCTCCCCCACATCAAGAAGCTTCATTTGGCAGAACAGGCCTGTTGAAACAATGTTTCTCTGAAATATCAGCAGTACAGAGAGAAAATTAACAAAATTTAGCAAAGTTTTATTCATATGTAGCAATTTGTTTCTTCCATAAGGTCTGTTCCTGTTTTTTCCTGAATCTTTTCTGGATACTGCATCATTCTCAAATGCAAAAGTATATGTCATAAATCTAAGGCATGGCTTCTAATGCAGTCAAATCATAACGACTGTCTAAAGATTTTAGACATGACCTTTAGAGTTTAGTTCACTAAGGAAAATATTCTCTAAATTGTATTTTAAACTTTTTAGCATATGATCAAGGAAAAACTATGTTCATATTAGCTAGTCAATGTACAACAGCTGAATCAGCTGTGGCATAAACAGGCAAAGGTATTAAGAACAACCTTTAAAAAATCTATATTAAGCCATGGAACCTAACAATGTCACATATTCACCATCTTCTGTAATTACCATAATACGCCTTAACAATCCCTCTTAGGTTGCCTTTACTGTTGGTGGCCCAACCCGAACTAGGTGACAGATGATACTGGGAGAAAGGCAAAACAAAATTATTCAAAGATTAATCAACTGTGATTTCAACTGTTTGCAAGCAACACTGAAAGCTGTAATACATGCTAATGTGTCTTTACGCTAAAGTTAGTTTTGTGGGAGCAGGTCAAGTACCTAGTGAGTGAGCTTAGGTAGCTTTCCAGCATTCACACTTAAGGACAACATTGTTTTCTACTACTATGTTTGTATACTGTCTCTTTTATTAAGAGCATAAAGGAATCATACATTTTTCAATGATATTTCACTGAATCTTATGGAGAATTTCAAATGTTGTAATTGTATTTGCAATTTTAGAGAGTCACTGAGTTTATGGTGTGTTTTGTTTTTTGCAAAATTTCACTCATCCAAGTATCAAGAGTTGGCCATGAATTTCATAATTTGTCACACTTTTACAAAATTCAAAGTACAGTAAAACTAAGGCCTTTAGAAAACTATAAGCAGGGTCTAAAAATTTTGATCATACAAAATACAGGGTTACATTATATCTAATGAGCAGTCTAAAATGCCATACTATCAAAGAATTGCACTATATTATAAACTTCTAGAAATAGTTCTGATAATACTTATTATGTTTTTAAAGTTATAAGCCTGGCTAATACTCAAAGCTATAGTGGAAGTTTTTCTTCCTGACAAAAAAGCTGTAGCTAAAATCAGAAGCACTCACTGAAA